ATCATTAACCTGCAGGCTGCGAGAAAATAGATAAATAGAGTAGAGCTGCGGTAAAATAAAAAATAAAAAGGCTGTGGTCAAGTAAATAAATAAATAAATTTAAAAAGTTAGACTGCTGAGAGCAACAGATTCTGGAGCTAGGGATACCAGCCCTCGCGACCAAAAAACGGACCGGCCCACCGGGAATTCTCCCGATCCTCCCGATTAGCCAATCCGGGCCTGTGCAGACGTCTCCAAAACCCCACAGGTGGACAAATCTACACTTGTTTTTATTAAAACAAATATAAATATGCATATAATAAATAATACTGATCATAATAATAACATTATACTAACGCAGATTGTCATGAATAAACTGAAAAAAGGTATGTACTTATATTATTATTCAATACTATTATTAAAAAAAAAAACTTGCAAAGATTAAGGGAATCCCTTTTAGCATTAACACTTGCTGGTGCCTCAGACTGTGGAAAGCAGTATATCATTTATTAAATCCATACAAATATTTCTGAAAGTCTCATGAGGGCAAGTAGAGACACACGCACCCAAACCCTTCAAAGAAAGCCAACAGAGGAAGACTTCAGCCCCTTGATGGTTCAAGTCTGTAATAATCACTCGCTCATCATGCCAAATTCAGAGGCCAATCCCTTCACACACGCACAAATTACAGAGCACCCATGCTCAAATACAGGCTTTTAACCCAGAGGTAAACACTTTCCTTTTGCCACTTTCCCAAAGAACATCCTGTGCTGAATATTCTGCAAATGAACAAGCGAGATGCCAGTTCACTCGATGGCTGGTTGTGTTTGCTGTAACCAGCAAAACTTTAACTACTATTATTAATTTGCTCGCTCTCAGACCATTCAAGACCAAAGCCTTAATGTGTGGGAAAATCTCATGATCATTTCTCCTATTTGGAGATGAAATACATCTGTTTAATAACATCTGTATTCTGTTTTTACCCCATTTTGCCAGATTTATGTACTGTGTGTAACAGGGGTGTAACGCTGACAACAGAGGTGTGGATCCAAACGCAGGTTTATTAGAATGGTCAGGCAACCAATGGTCAACACAGGGGCAAACAGATGTAAATAGGCAGTCCAGAATCGTAGTCAATAGGCAGGTAGATGGTCAGAGGCAGGCAGCAGACAAGAATAGACAAATAAACAAGGCGAGGATCAAAAAACATGGCAAAGCAAGACAAAGGAAAATGCGTTGTAGTGTCACAGTAAACAAGACTCATTGAGTGTGTTTGTGCTGCTTATGTAGTGCAGTAATCAGTCCCAAAAGCAGCATCAGCTGTGAGAGTCTAATCAGTGGAGACTTGGAGCAGGTGTGTGTGTGTGTTGCATGACTGAATATGTAGTCCATAGCATGGTGGATTTGTAGTTCGTGTGAATGTGAGTGTTTACCAGTGATCTCTGGATGTTAAATCGCTGGTGATCGTGACAGGTTTTTCAAGTCAAGGTTTTTCCATGGGCTGTCAAAAGCCATTTGGTCTAGGAAAACATGAGCGTTCAATGTTTTCTTAGCTTATTTGGTTTAGTTTGACATCAAACGCAATTTCTGTAATCAATATCAGGCCACTGTACATGTTTGTTTTTGCATGGACTAGATTCGAGAAGTCATTAAATTCATCATGGCGCCCACATGCTTCCCAAACATATGAGAACTTAGAAAAATAATGACTAAAAATAAAACAATACATTGCAAATATGTGCTTTGGCCATTGTTTTTGTGAAACTACAAAAACGTACTTAAGCATATGTTTGACTGCAGTTTCTAGATTAAACATAGGACAAAACGTAAATAAAGTAGCATATTTTACATTCAGAAAATGAACACAGCGCCCTCTAGTGGATTTGTAATCTGAAATATGCAACTAAAATTAGCCTGACAATGTATTTTACATTTCACAAAAAAGTAATTGAGGCAAAGCAACGTGCATAACTTTAACTACTATTAGTACTTTACTCACCCTCAAGCCATTTAAGACCAAAGCCCCAATATGTGGTAAAATCTCGTGATCATTTCCCTTATTTGGAGATGAAATAGATCTGTTTGAAGGGCCATGCGCATCTCCCCCCACATCTCAGCTTTTTCACACCTCTAGATTGAAAAAAGTCAGGACAGTGGGTGAGTCCAGCTTTGTTTAAGTGGAGTGTGAAGAAAGAGGGAAGGGTTTGCATGAAAAGGGGAGTTTCCCTACTGAAAAAAACAGCTTGAACCAGCCTTGGCTGGTTGGCTGGTTTTAGCTGGTCAACCAGGCTGGTTTTAGAGGGGTTTTTTAAACCAGCCTAAGCTGGTTGGCTGGCTTTAGCTGGTTGACCAGCTTGGTTTTAGACCACTTCCAGGCTGGTTTCCAGCCATTTCCAGCCTAGTCTTAGCTGGTCAGGCTGGGAGATGACCAGCTAAAACCAGCTTGTCCAGCCTAACCAGGCTGCGAGCCCAGCCAAATCCAGCTATAACCAGGCTCAAGTTGGTTTTAGCTGGTCATTTTCCAGCCTGAACAGCTAAGACCAGGCTTGAAATGGCTGGAAACCAGCCTGGAAGTGGTCTAAAACCAAGCTGGTCAACCAGCTAAAGCCAGCCAACCAGCTTAGGCTGGTTTAAAGTGGTTTTTCCTGCAGGATTCAGTTCAGGCAGGCGCTGATTTTCAGGCAAAACAAACACAGATGCAGAGGAGAAAGACAGTAGCCTCTTTCACACAGTGATACCGGTAAATATCTGGAAAATTTCCGGAAAGACTTTACCGGTATATTGAAAAAAGCGCTGTTCACACAGGCGAGGACGTTACGGAAATTTTTTCCGGAAAAGAGCATTCACACATCCATTCCAAAATACCGGTAAATTCTGACATCATTCTCCACAAATGAGCTTTAAATGGCTACGCTTGTATTTGTAAACATTTGACTAAATTACAAACTCTTTTGATGATCAATATTGTGAACAACTTTCGCAGGATCATTTTCGCATGTCGAGATGTTCATAATATGTGTGTGTGCGGCGCTCATAGGCACACGCAAAGCTTGAAGGTAAACAAACAACGGCTTATCATAAGCATCTCATCGATGATTATTTACACAGTTGGCATTAAGAGGAACATATAAACGTGATCTGACTAACTTCTAGCAGCTAAATGTGTCTGGAAAAATATTCAAAGGCTTTTATTCTCACAAACCGCGCGCACGTAAATGCGTCTGACTGTTGTGATTGGCTAAAGCAGACGTCTCACGTCAGCACATTCTAGACGTGCACGCGCTTATTACGGGAATCTTCCTTCTGCATTCACACAGCGCAGCATTCCGGCAAATTGCCGGTAATGTTACAACTTCTCTTTCCGGAAAATAGCCAGAACGAATTTACCGGTATTTTCAAAAAGGACCTGTTCACACATACAAATTTTCCGGAAAGGTCTGTATGTGTGAAAGGGGCTAGTGACTGTGTTAACATGGATATTATAATCGAATTATTTGGCAAATTGTTAATTTGTCGACTTTAACTGCAGTTTGGCACTTTCACTTTCATTCAGGAACATTTCCTGCATGCCCCAGTGATAAACCAGAAACTGGATGCGAAGAACTGCTGGAAGAGTGTAGTTTTGATGGAATGTTTGATAACATATGGGAGAAAAAAAACTCAGCATTTCTCGGTCATTTAGGTGCACTCTGTAGGTCGCGTCAGAAAGCCGTGTGTGTGTATAGACCAGGGGTGTCCAAAGTCGGTCCTGGAGGGCTGGTGTCCTGCTGATCTTAGCTTCAACATGCTTCACCACACCTGCCTGGAGATTTCTAGTACACCTAATAAGAGCTTGATTAGCTTGTTCAGGGGTGTTTGATTAGGGTTGGAGCTAAACTCTCCAGGACACCGGCCCTCCAGGACCGAGTGTGGACACCCCTGGTATAGACTATCCTGTCAAAAAATTCTACGCAATGGTAACAGTTTGATTGCAGTGTTTACAAGTCTACACTCGGAGAGCAGCATTTACAGCGTATCTTTCAGTTCATAATATTGTAGTGATATTAACGTACTGTAAACTCAGTAACTAAATAATTTTGACTAAGCTCTGTCTTTAAAAACTGAAAGAGTCCTGCTGACGATACAGACTAACTTTACCATCTGAATAAACATAAACAAAGACCACAGATCACACACTTACCAAATCTGTAGAGACAGAACAATCAATACCAACTGGAGCCGCGTCTTTTTTAAAAAGAGACAAGAGGCAAATCCGGATTTCACCATTTCCAGATGTGAAAAGCTCTCGGTTGAACAAAGTTCCTTACAAACGTATTTCTGTCGCGTGTTAGCAGACCACTGTAATCCACACATGAGTTCAGCTGCGCTCTCATAGCAGGGAAATGAAAACGAAACCTTCAATGTGGCACATTTATAAACACAACACTGACGACTCGTGTCTCTGAACTATTCTTCTTCTTCCACTTGTTTTTACAACACAACGTGGCATCTCTCTGCCGTCTGAACACTGTAACAGGGCTTCAAAGCTATCATGCATATTAATGAAGTTGCACCGCATACACAATAGAGCGTGCTGATTGGTTTGAACCAAGTCTTTCTCATGAATTAATGCTGCACACTCAAATGTGTCACGTTGTATTCCAGTCAACATGCTGAAGTATACACAAGGATCTAATCTTCTAAGCTTCAAAAATTCGTTTCAAAATGGTAGTTGCTGGAAATAATGCAAAAACAACCATCTTTCACTTATTAGTGAAATATATGTGTCCTAATAGTGTTTTTAGCAGTGTGGGACACATATACGACTGTCAACAGCTCAACAAATGTGCTCTGGTGTTTCATGACCCTTTAATAACTTTTGTATCATCTCTGTTTTCACCCCATTTTGCCAGATTTTTGTACTGTGTATAAAATATATACCCTGTATTTTTTCACCCCAATTTCTGTTTAATGGAAAGGAGACTTTGTTTAAACACATTTATCTCTCTAAATAACTGTGATTACATAATTCTGTGACGTACCCGTACAGACAGCTGGAGTGTGTCGGATGTCTGGAGGTACTCTGGGTCGACACTGGGCCATGGCTGCTGAAGGACACTTCCCTTCCCAGACAGCACACTACCAAGGGGACTCCTCACCTGAGACAAACCTGACACAGAAAACATTACATACGGACAATAGTGAGTACAGTTTATGGTGATTAAAAAAACTCCTAAATATACAGTTGATGTACAGTTGGAGAAAATATTTATTTCAACACATTTCTGATCATATAGTTTTAATAACTCATCTCTAATAACTGATTTATTTGATCTTTGCCATGATGACAGTAAATAATATTAGACTAGATATTCTTCAAGACACTTCTATTCAGCTTAAAGAGACATTTAAAGGCTTAACTAGGTTAGTTCGGTGAGTCAATTAGGCAAGTCATTGTATAACAGTGGTTTGTTCTGTAGACAATCCAAAACAAATATAGCATAAAGGGGCTAATAATATTGAGCTTAAAATGGCTCTGACTTGGAATGGAACTGCTTTTATTCTAGCCGAAATAAAACAAATAAGACTTTCTCCAGAAGAAAAAACATTATCGGAAATACTGTGAAAATTTCCTGAATCTGTTCAACATCATTTGGGAAATATTTAAAAAAGACAGACATTAACAGAAGGGCGAATAATATTGACTTCAACTGTAAGTCAGCACAAATTGTTTACTGTGTAAGGTTTATTCATTTCTGCAGAATGAGTTTGTCCGAGCTCTATAGAAATGTTAAATCAGTTTAATAATAGTTTCAGTGAACGATGCAGCACATAAACAGATATCAGACGGTCAAGCGATGCTCAGAAATACAGATTTAGAAATCTGTGCCTGACCTCAACAGGACCTTCAGGAAGGATGTACATTTCCGCTTGTCCTTATTGTGTGTGTGTTTGTACTCATGTGTTTGTGTTCATCAGTACATGAGGAAGTTCCCAGAAAAGAGGAAAAGACAGTTCTCCAACAATATAAAACTTGTTATTTTATTATTTACCCATTTTTATTCTGTTCCAAACCTACTTTTAATAATTTATTCTGTTAGTTAGTTAATTAAACATACCCTTACTGGCCTGTAGCCAGCCTGGTACATTGGGGTGCTCCTTTTTTCTTAAAAAGGGGACCTTTTTGTAGTTAATAATCATAATAATAATAATAATAATAATAATAACAATAACAACAACAACAATATTATTAATAATAATAATAACAGCAACAACAATAACAATAATAACAACTATAATAATAATAATAACAACAACAACAACAATAATAATATCAATAATAATAACAACAACAATAATAACATTAATAATAATAATAATATTAATAAAATAATACTACTAATAATAACAATAATAATAGTAATAACAACAACAATAACAATAATAACAACTATAATAATAACAATAACAATAACAACAACAATTATAACAATAATAATAATAATAATTATATTAATAATAATAACAATAATAATATTAATAATACCAATAATAATAATAATAATAATAATACCAATAATAATAATAATAATAATATAAAAATTATAGTATTAATAATTTAGAGCTTCACATTTTTTCTATCCTCTCTTTTAAAAAAAGTACATTTGAAAATTCATGGATAAGAACAATAGCCAAAATAGTATTCAAAATAATTATAATATGAGCCGTATTTGCTGCTTCACACCATTTTATTGGTCATTTTCTCTTTTAAGAAAAAGATCCAAGATTTTTAGTTAAAATTACTTGTTAAATGTTGTCTTTATTAAAATAATTAATACAGTGGCAGTCAGATTGTACGTCTTCTAGCACAGAATAATGTTGGACTCATGAAAAATATTTGTTTGCATTGGCCAAAACTGATTAGCTGAAGTCACACTGAAGCGACAGCCAAAAGAGGACTTCACCTGGTCTTGAAGCTTTTATTCGATGGGTTATTTTCACTATTCATGATGAAATAAGACAAATGAGCTCATTTATGGGACAAACTCTGGATCTTTGTCAGTGAGGGGTTGGTTTTCTGAACCACCCGAAACCCAAGTTTCTTTCTTCTTTTGAACGCAAAAGAAGATATTTTGAAGAATGCTGGACGCCTGAAACCATTGACTTCCATAGTAGAAAAAGCGATATACATAAAGTCACAGAAGTTTATAAAAGAAAAGAATCTAATAACAATTATAGAACAGAAAAAATGATCTGTTGTGCCTTAGATCTGACAAAAACATCTTGATTGCTTCTCCTGTATGTGGTTCTACCTAAATCACTTACGATTTAATAATGGATATCAAACTGTAGTGTGTGAGCTTAGATTTTTTAGATTTGAACTATCCCTTTGATGATCATTGTTTGGTCAGACACGCCTCTGTGTTCTGGTCAGTGTCAGTGTGTGTTATCTTAAAGTGTGTACAAACACACCATCTCTACGTTCGTGTGTGTGTTTGACAATAGCGGGATGTGATGGAAAGGACAACAGGGGCCAACAGTTTCCTTTTTTTCCTTACCACCAGCATTTCCACGACTTTTCACCTCGATCACAATCACTCACTGTCATCCGGAGGCTTGGTTTTATTTCTTTCAAATACAATATGCACTAGCAATAAGCTGTACTGTTACCAGTATCACTGTCTCATTCAGATTAGGCCTTTTAAATAATAATAATAATAATAATAATAAAAATATTCATTCATTCATTTTCTTGTCCGCTTAGTCCATTTATCAATCAGGGGTTGCCACAGTGGAATGAACTGCCAACTTATCCAGCATATGTTCTATGCAGCGAATGCCCTTCCAGCCACAACCCAACTCTGGGAAACACCCATACACTCTTGCATTCACCCTCATACACCACAGGCAATTTAGTCTACCCAATTCACCTATAGCGCATGTGTTTGGACTGTGGGGGAAACCAGAGCACCCAGAGGAAACCCACGCTAACACAGGGAGAACATGCAAACTCCACACAGAACCATAATAATAGTAGAACGCTCATAATAATAGTAATATTAAAATAAAATAATAATGTTATTATTAAAAATAATAATAATTGTCTAATAATGATTGAACAATAGCCTAACAACAATAATAAAAAGTTTAATAATAAAATAATAGCCTAATAATGATAATAATAATAATAATAATAATAATAATAATAATAATAATGATGTTCTCAAAAACAGCTCTCTCGACCCCGAAATTCATGCAAATTATCGACCCATGTCTAATTTGCCGTTCTTATCTAAAACACTTGAAAAGGTTGTTTCTATCCAGCTACAAAACTATTTATACAATAATTCCATATCCGACGTCTTTCAATCTGGATTCAAATCTCTGCATTGTATTTGCACTTCTAAAAGTCTTAATGGATATTTTGATGACTACCGACAGCTTTTTGGTCCTTCACAACATTCTAGCAACACATCTACTGATTTTGGTGTATTACACTGTTACCTCACCTCTGAAGTTAAAACTTACTAAGCAGGAAGGGTTTTGAAACGCCTATCCATGCCTTTATTTCCACGTGATTAGGTTATTGTAATTCTTTATAGATTGATCTACCCCGTGCCATCGTATCTTTCTGATCTGATCACTATTAAGGCCCAAACTTGATCGCTTAGATCAAATCCGACTGCCATCTTGTCTCAAATGCGGGGGCGATAGAGCCTTTGCAGTCGTGGGTCCGAAACTATGGAATAAGTTACAATTTAAAATCAGAATAGCAGCTACTCTATCTGTTTTAAATCGATGCTAAAGACTCCTCTTTTTTTGAGTGCGTTTACCACTTCCTAATGGCGGTTTCAGACTTTACTAAATTGATTCTTTCTTAGAAATTTTTCCTGTTGTTATTATTGTTTGATATTGTTGTTTTATTGTAGTGAATTTGCTGTTTGGGCGAGGCAGTGGGTAGCACATTCACCTCACAGCAAGAAGGTCGCTGCGTCGCTGGTTCGAGCCTCGGCTCAGTTGACGTTTCTGTGTGGAGTTTGCATGTTCTCTCTGCCTTTGCGTGGGTTTCCTCTGGGTGCTCAGGTTTCCCCCACAGTCCAAAGACATGCGGTACAGGTGAATTGGGTAGGCTAAATTGTCCGTAGTGTATGTGTGTGTGTGTGTATGTGTGTGTGGATGTTTCCCAGAGATGGGTTGCGTCTGGAAGGGCATCCGCTGCTTAAAAGCTTGCTGGATAAGTTGGCGGTTCATTCCGCTGTGGCGACCCCAGATTAATAAAGGGACTAAGCCGACAAGAAAATGAATGAATGAATTTGCTGTTTTTATCTGCTACTGCTACTGTACAGCACCTTGGTCGACCGACGGTTGTTATTAAGTGTCCTCTGGAAATAAACTTTTGACTTTGATGATGATAATAATAATGATAATAAACACAAACACGATATGACACATGAGTACGGAGTAGTACAGATTTATTTATTTATTTATTGGACAGGCTAAAAAACAAACTCAAATAACATAACAGAAGAATAACATGTTTAAGAGTCTACATCAGAGACAATGATTATTAATATTAATGCTATTTTTATTTTTTTTTCTGACAAAACTGTCAGTGGACTAATAAAATATTAAAGTATAGCATATAATATATTTTAAATTAATATTAAATTCTAAAATAAAATTTCTTGAAAAAAAATAAAGAAATAAAATAGGAAAAATAAGCTTTATTTCCTTGAACATTTGAAACAAGGATGTAATCTTTTCTGTAATTTTGTGCCATCTAGTGGTTTGGAAAAGACTAAATTCAAATGTCATTCATTCATTCATTTTTCTTCAGCTTAGTCCCTTTAATCATCAGGGGACGCCACAGCGGAATGAACCACCAACTTATCCAGCATATGTTTTTCAAAGCGTATGCCCTTCCAGCTGCAACCCAGTACTGGGAAACATCCATACACACACATATACAAACATACACTACAGCCAATTTAGTTTATTCAATTCCTCTATAGCGCATGTTTTTGAACTGTAGGGGAAACCAGAGGACACACAGAGAGAACATGCAAACTCCACACAGAAATGCCAACTGACCCAGCCTGGACTTGTCGTATTTTTCCTTCCTCAAAATAGCAAAAGTGGATTCGTACATGCCCTTAATGCTTTCGCGCCATGCGCTTTAGACTTTGCGCCTAGATCATTAAAATAGAGCCCACAGTGTTCATCAGAAGAAAGACACTGGTAAAGATTTAAAACTACATGAAGGAGAATAAATAATGTGGTGATTTTCATTCTTAAGTGAACTATCCATTTAACAAGATCCACTCCATTGCTCTGGAAGCAGACAAAATGGTGTGTAAATAGTGAATACCTGCCCAGAGTTCAGAAGCTAAATGTGGACACATGGGAGCAGCCATGATGCAGAGCGAAGCCAAAGCGTCCTCAAACTCCACACTGTGCAGGACGACCCGCGTCGAGGCTTGCTGACGGAGGAAAACGGAGAAATCAGAAAGCTCCAGCAGTCATGTGGGATATCACCAACAGCAGATGTCTTACCGAGAGAGTGTTGGTCAGGCCCATGAGTCGAGAGATGGCTGCGTTAAACAGGAAGTCCTCTGTGAAGTGACCTGTGACCTGTGAACACAATCATCTGGATAAGATTCATTCGTAAATCTAATATCAGCAACTCAATACAACATTTCAAAAGATCTCAATGAGGATAACGTGGAGTTCAGACTGTTTCAAAGTAGTGGCGTTACAGATGTTTGAGCTAGAATTCCGTTGCTGCTGTGTTTGAACTGTAAGGAGGATCTGCGGCAGGGGATTTACAATAGTCGACAACCTTGTCTAAGTCCGCAAACTACGTCTCACAACCAAACACATGCAAGAAGTGACATGGAAACAACACAAGGTCACACAGTATATATTATGTTATTAACTACATAATGAGAAAGACGCCTTTAGTTGGGTAGGAAACCTACTTATTTTACTCATCTGGCTTTTAAAGGTTCAGGACACCCTGGATAACTTTTTTTTATATATTAACAGATGTGTGTGTGTTGAGCATCAGTTTAGACAATGTTAGCACCTGTCAGCTTTAATTGTGGGGAAAACTGGATAATTTTGAGCTTTTGTCAGCTAATTTCAGCTTCCGGGTTTAAAATGATTTTTGGGGTGGGATCAAAATCGGCGACGTAGCACAGTACTGCAAGTGCAATGATGACGCGTCGGTTTTTCATTATTATTCATAGCGGAGTTTTCTTATCCTATAAGAAGAGCCGGCTGCTTAATTATTCATGAGACCTGCCAGAGTCAAGCCCGAGCTGTGTCACGGACCCACGGGCACACAGTATTTAGCTGTTCATGAAGGCTCGTATGTGTTTGTTTCCATGATCCACGCGGTTTGTTGCATGTTTCCCCCCGCGATCTTGTCAGGGCCGATCATACAGCAAAGCTGTGTGTGTGCTGCTAGCATTTTTGTCGGGAGAGCAGCACGAGAATTAGAGAATGGCGGACGCTGTCTTTTATCAGGAGATCGTTCACATTCAGACACATCGCCGTGCTGCTGTGTTTGCCTAAATCCTCCAGATTACCAACAGGGCTAATGGTTAAACTAGACAGGTCAGGAGACCTGCAGCACTGAGTCTGCTGGATACGGGGATTGAGGGAGAAGTCCCCATTTATACGGTTTACATGAACACACTTATCTTTATAATTATATAAATTGTGGTTATGTGTATATGAAATTACGAATTACAAATGTAGCAGGGCATTAAATCACTGTTCATTTCTTTGCATTTTAACTTTTTAAACTATAAACTCATGCGTCTCCTCACGGTTTGTCTCATTTTGTGAGCTAGCTTCGTTCGCTCACGTTCTCCCCTGCTGGCCACGCCCACTCCTGCCCGATGCTCGCGAAGCTCCACGCCCATTAATCATGCATCTTTTGAAAAAATTATGAAGTAGACTTTAACCGAAAGTGGGGGGTGTCATGGCCCTTTAACCATATTTACCATATGGTAACATGATACTCATGTTCATTTCCCTGCCACTGTTTCTTTAAGACCAACATATTATTATTTTTTTTTTGTTGGAAAGAGAAAACCTTAGAGTAGCCAATGAAGTGCTTTGGTTAAGACACATGAAATCCAGTGTTTTTTTGTAGCGTGATTGGACTGGCGTTTATTGTGAGTAGTTGCTGAATGCGAATGTAAACATCAATAAAAAACAAAGGATCAATTGATGTCAGATCCACAATAAAAGCTGAAACATCATCTCCAGTAAGTTATGATGACATATTCACAACTCAATTTTTTTTAATCAAATTAGTTATTTGTAAATCGATCAAATGTGTGTTACCAAATGGCAACACTGTGCAATGGTGGAACATGCAATATTGCAATGGGTTATCTAGCTAGCTAGGTCAGCTGTGAACTTTTAAGTTGTAACAATGACAACATGAAAGCTGGTAATATAATGTTGATTAGTCACGAGTTAATTGCATTTGCATTATGTATAAAATCTACAGTTTTAATGGCAATACTACTTTTGAATAGAAATCAATACAGGGAGCAGTGTATTAGCGAGCACCACCATGTTCTGTGGTAATTTAAAGAAGAACAGGACAGAAGTGGCTCTTCCTGCAGATGAAAGGGAGGTTTTAGTGACCATGAGAATGATGCAGACTGGACATTTAATAGAGACAGTTCAGATGTTCAGATATATATATATATATATATATATATATATATATATATATATATATATATATATATATATATATATATATATATATATATATATATATATATATATATATATATATATATATATATATATATATATATATATATATATATATATATATATATATATATATATATATATATATATATATATATATATATATATATATATATATATATATATATATATATATATATATATATATATATATATATATATATATATATATATATATATATATATATATATATATATATATATATATATATATATATATATATATATATATATATATATATATATATATATATATATATATATATATATATATATATATATATATATATATATATATATATATATATATATATATATATATATATATATATATATATATATATATATAGATATATATATATATATATATATATATATATATATATATATATATATATATATATATATATATATATATATATATATATATATATATATATATATATATATATATATATATATATATATATATATATATATATATATATATATATATATATATATATATATATATATATATATATATATATATATATATATATATATATATATATATATATATAAACATAGTTAGCTAGTAGCTACATTATTCTGATGTATCTGGATATACCAGACTTGTTATTTATTTGTTATAATATTTACTGGAGAAAATCTTTATATTTACTGTATGTTGTATCCATGATAATACAATATTATGATTGTTTTCAATAATATTCAGCAAAAAAGAATAGAATAAATAAAAGCTGCGGGAACATGAGTTGTGGTAAAGTTTGTATAAGGTGTTATTTATAGGTTCTGTGTTAAAGCTCATAATGCTGCAACACCAAATAAATTATTTCAAACAAAAAAATTATTTAATTAATTTAATTATTTAGAAACAATTATAAGGAAAGTTTTCAATTTTAAATTTCTCAGGTAGATCCACTGCTGGACGTTGTTGCCAGATGGCAACATTTCATAAAGTACCTTAAAAAATTATTTATTTCCTTTTTTTTACAGCACTTCAAGTTAAGCCATTTTAAGAAAAGAAAAACTGTCAAATATTTTTTTACAGGATTATGATAACGCGTGCGGTAGAGGTTTAAAGTTAATTAGCAATTTATTTTCTTTTTTTTTTTATAATTTTTTTATTTTTTATTTTATAATAAGAACATGCAAGAGATACACAAATTGGGATCACATACAAGGAAAACAAAACAACAAAACACAGATGACAACAACAACAACAACAATACAGTCAGGTACTGGCAGATACGAGGTCTCCAGTTTCCACATCAGCTCATTCTCCAGAGACGCACACAACTAAAGAAGTGACGACGGAGACTTTTCCCAGCAGGACATCAAAGATCCAGAGGTTTAGTGGCTCTGGATTGAATCATGTCGAGTCCAGACGCTTTTACCAGCACACGATCAATCTCAGCCCTGGAGAGGCTCTATATACAGGCTAAAAATACACTTCCACATCTAACACCACTCTCCAACTATAGTCTGATAACAAAATATGTACACATACACTACAAAAATTTAAATTTAAAGGGCTGTTCCACAGTGTATTTTTAAGGCTTGCTTGTGTTTATAAGATGCAAAGCAATGTGTGCTCATGCTTTATTTGTAGAAACCCACGTTATGTCTTCAGAAATCTGACTTTGATTCTATACAGCTACTCAGCTAACATAAAAACCACTGTCATATTTCCTAGTTCCTCTGTAAGGCCCTCCCTCAAGAGGCTCTGATTGGTCAGCTAACACAGTGGTCCCCAACCACCGGGCCATGGACCGGTACCGGTCCGTGGAACAATTGGTACCGGGCCACATAAGAAATCATATATTATTTCTGTAGAAAATATTCCCCCCCCCGCGACTTGGTTTCTTCCACTCACCCCTGCCATCTCACGTGAAATGGACTATGCCAAAATCCACCACGGAGCGGGAAGAACGATCGTGAGAATATAGCTCAGTGGAGGTTGTTGATAGTTTAAAGTTATAAAACAGGTATTATAGAGTCCAAATCAGCAGAGCATTTAAGGATTGTGCATATATGTGTGCGTGCATCGCTAAGTAAGCACCCGAAATCATTGCAATATGTATCTAAATGGTGTTTCACATAATCACACTCATTAGGGCTGTAACATGCCAATGCATACATTTAATTCGGCTATACGTTTGTATTATTGTTAATATGTTCGTCAGTTGAAATGTTTGGCACAGATGTTATGTATTTGATGCATATACACCTTGATTGAAACATAATCAGACTGCGATAGTGCAACTAGCGCATGCGCACCGAGTTGTTTATGATTAACCTGGATGCAGGAGCGCAGCAGCTGTGTTCACGTGAAGACCCCCGCCGGCCCACACCAGTCCGCTGTTAAAATTAACCGTTCTGCGGTGATAAAAAGGTTGGGGACCACTGAGCTAACATATTGTATTCTTGACAGTTCTGGAGGTCATTAATAATATAATAACTCTAATACTGAAATGGTTCAGGTGTTTTAGAATGACCAAAACATTAGTTCAGATGTTTTACAGTGTGCTCAGCCTGCTGGTTTGTCCATTTACACACATTTTTATCATCACATGGTCTCTTATAACAAAATCACATGACCTTTTTTCAATGCACATGCTGGAATTTGTTCGCTGCAAATGTTTTCTTCGTAGTTTATGTGCATCTTATCGAATAAAAAGTTTATCCTACTAAGTTATGCACATATGTATTTAAGCGCAAAATTTATGCGCATGTTGGCTTTTTATCAACCGATTTTTCATGCTTAAATATTTCCTAAGCATCATTTTGTTTAATACAACTACAACCAGTAAAGGTGCAGGTTAACCTCCAGAAGATGAAGCCAAAGCATTACTAGATTGAGTGTTCACCTGTGTGAGGGTGTAGTTCTTGTTGTCCCAGATCTTCTTGGCCTCTGAGCGCTCTCTCTTGTTCAGGATGGACGGGTTTGGTGTTTCTGGACCCTCGCGGACACTTCTCAGCTTGCTGACCAGACCCCAAAGACGCGACTGCCAGCGTAGCACCCCCGGGATGGCATCAGCTGCACACACATAATAGTAATAAAAATAATAATAATGGGGCGAGGCAGTGGCGCAGTCGCCTCACAGCAAGAAGCTAGCCCCGACTGGGCCAGTTGGCATTTCTGTATGGAGTTTGCATGTTCTCCCCGTGTTGGTGTGGGTTTCCTCAGGTGCTCCAGGTTCCCCCACAGTCCAAACACGTGCTATAGGAGAACTGAATAAATTAAATTGCAGTAGTGTATGTGCGTAAATGAAAGAATGTATTGGTGTATCCAAGCGCTGGGTTGCGGCTGGAAGGGCATCCGCTGCGTAAAAAACATGTGCTGGACAAGTTGGTGATTCAGTCCGCTGTGGTGACCCCTGATTAATAAATGGATTAAGCCGAAAAGAAAATGAATAATAATATTAATAATAATAATGATTATAATATTAATGAAGATAATAATATTAATGATGATAATAATATGAATTATAATAATAATAATAATAATAATAATAACAATGATAATATTAATAATAATAGTGATTATAATAATAATAATAAACATGATAATAATACTAATAATAATAATAATAATAAATATAATATTATTATTAATAAAAATAAAATAATAATAATAATGATAATAATAATAATAATAATAATGATAAGAAGAAAAATTATAGAAATAATAATAATAATAATAATAATGATAATAAAATTAATAATAATAACAATTATAATAATGATGATGGGCGAGGCAGTGGCGCAGTAGGTAAATCTGTCGCCTCACAGCAAGAAGGTCTCTGGGTCGCTGGTTCGAACCTCGGCTCGGCTCAGTTGCCGATTCTGTGTGGAGTTTGCATGTTCTCCCTGCCTTTGCGTGGGTTTCCTCCGGGTGCTCCGGTTTCCCCCACAGTCCAAAGACATGCGGTACAGGTGAATTGGGTAGGCTCATGCACGTGCACATAGGGGTCAACCTGTGCAGTGCACATGCCCTTCTTAGTCTTGGATAGAAAGTGCCCTTCCAAAATGATCAAAAGTGCCCCCCCCCCCAATAAACTCACTCCTTATACATCCATCAGCTGACTGTGCTCAAGACTAATTTGATTTGCATAGACACTTACAGGTACAGTACTATAGCAGCATCGCATGTCACTTGGGGCTTGTGTGAACGACAGTGTTGCTAAAGAATGAACTGCTATGCTTTAAAGCTAGTTCTCTGTGGCTCTGAACTAAAAGCAATTATAACACAATTTATAAATATAATTTTTTTTATCAAAAAATGGCCCTGAAGACTTCTTTGCAAAAAGGGTATAAACAAACAAAAAAAAGTTCTTATACAGTAATTACTTTGTAATCTGGCTTTCAATGTTTCATTCAGCGCTTGTTCATTGTTACTTTTTTAAAATGCAGCACTGTCTAACATTGACTCCAATTATAAACAAAAGCATAGAAACTCAAAGACTGATCAAAAGATGGACGTTTAAACCCTAGGAATAGTACAAAATGCATATCAAGAATTGTTTTGGAATCAAATGACTCCTTGAGTTTTATGAAGCCCCTCTAAAGATTCCCAACCCTAATCTCCAGATCTTAAATGCATGGAGCAGACATCAGCACTCACTCTTGACGTCCCACAGGATGTCCTGCTCAGGCGGGGCGGCGTACAGCAGGTAGAGGCGCAGGGTGCTGATGCCGTACTGCTGCAGCACCTCCTGTGGGTCCACTCCATTGTGTTTAGATTTACTCATCTTCTCCCACGTGACCGTCAGACGCCTCCCGCTGCTCTTCTCCACCGGATCTGGACCTGACAGAGAGAAGCAGGGAGCTTTAGTTTACATTTACACCATCACCTGCTACAACATTCCATAAAACATTCCAGTCACAAATGGACGTTCACAGTGCGAGGCTTGGTGCTGAAATGTTTATTTTTTGCATAGCTGTTCATATTGATGTTATAAATGTGGCCAGATTCAGTCATCAATGGAAATGATAATTTTGCATGACCCTAAAAAAAAGTGGGGTATTTCATATATATACATGGAATGCTACTCCAATTAACAAACACAGCAACTTTAGAATATCTAAGATCCTCTTAGGAGGTAGATATATATATATATATATATATATATTTTTTTTTTATAGGCCACTTTATTAGGTACACCAATCACATGGCAGCACCTTAATGCATTTAGGCATGTAGACATGATCAAGACGATCTACGGCAGTTTAAACCAAGCATCAGAATGGAGAAGAAAGGTGATTTGAGTTACTTTAAATACTGGGATTTTCATGCACAACCATCTCTAGGGTTTACAATGAGTGGTCTGAAAAAGAGGAAATATCCAGTGAGTGAATGTTCTGGGGTCCCAAATGTCTTGTTGATGCCAGAGGTCAGAGGAGAATGGCCAGACTGGTTTAGTTGATAGAAAGGCAACAGTAACCTAAATAAGCACTCAATACAACCGAGGTCTGCAGAAGATCATCTCTGAACACACAACACGTCCAACCTTGAGGCGGATGGGCTACAGCAGCAGAAGACCACACCGGGTGTCGCTCCTGTCAGCTAAGAACAGGAAACTGAGGCTACAATTCACACAGCCTCACCAAAACTGGACAGTAGAAGATTGGAGAAACGTTGCCTGCTTTGATGAGTCTCCATTTCTGCTGACACATTCAGATGGTCGGGTCAGAATTTGGCATCAACAACATGAAAGCATGGATCCATCCTGCCTTGTATCAACGGTTCATTCTGGTGGTGATGGTGTAATGGTGTGGGGGAGATTTTCTTTGCACACTTTGGGCTCATTAGTACCAATTGAGCATCAACACCACAGCCTACCTGAGTATTGCTGCTGACCATGTCCATCCCTTTATGACCACAGTGTCTCCATCTTCTGATGGCTACTTCCAGCAGGATAACGCTCCATGTCATAAAGCGTGAATCATCTCAGACTGGTTTCTTGAACATGACAATGAGTTCACTGTACTCAAATGGCCTCCACAGTCACCAGATCTCAATCCAATAGAGCGCCTTTGGGATGTGGTGGAACGGGAGATTGGCATCATGGATGTGCAGCCGACAAATCTGCAGCAACTGCGTGATGCTATCATCTCAATATGGAGCAAAATCTCTGAGGAATATTTCCAGTGCCTTCTTAAATCTCTGCCACGCAGAATTAAGGCACTAATAAGTACTGGTACTAATAAGGTGTACCTAATAAAGTGGCCAGTGTGCATATGAAGATCACGTGTACACCTGTAACATTTCCCCTCTAAACTGTTCACACTCATGAATTAAAGCTCACAGAATGTACAGGCTTTCCTGAAGACATTGCACATCTGTTGTATTGTTCTCCGCCAACAATACGGGATCAGTTTAAACCCAGGTTGTGTTCCGATCGAGGGTTCCTACACAGTGTAGACACGTGCATACTTTACTTTAGATCCTCTACTGACATGCACACACACGCAGGCATGCACACACACCCAACCTGTGAAGTCGATGTCCTCTTTCTTCAGGTACTGTCCGGTGTGCTCCAGTGTGAAGGTCTGTCCCTTTATGAGGCCCTGAACCAGCAGCTTCCTGAACGGCTCCCTGAAGCACACACACACACACACTGGGTATGTTTATGTGTATTTGTGTGTGTGTGAATTTGTGTTTGTATGTTCGTGTGTATTTTTATCTTTGCACGTGTATATGTGTGTATTTGTGTTGATATGTTTGTGTGTGTGTGTTTATATGTGTATATTTTCGTATGCATGTATGCGTGTATGCGCGTTGGTTTGTGGGTGTGTTTGTGTGTGTATTTGTATGTTTGAGCATTTGTTTGTATGTGTGTGTGTGTGTATTTGCTTATATGTTTGTGTGTCTGTATTTTTGCTTGCATGTTTGAGAGTGTATGTGTGTGTGTGTTTTGGCGTTTTGTATGTCTGTTGTTTTATGAGTGTGTGTGTTTGAGTATCTGTCTGTGTGTTTGTGTGCTTGTGTGCATATTTGTATGTTTACGTGGGTGTTGGTTTGCGTTTGTGTATGTGTGTTTGTGTGTATTTGTGTTTGTATGTGTGTGTGTGTGTAAGTATTTATATGTGTTTGTGTTTGTTTGTATGTTTGTGTGTTGGTGTGTTTTTGTCTACATTATTTGTACATGTGTGTGGATTTTGTTTGTTTGTTGGTTTGTGATTGTGCGTTTGTGCTTGTGTATTTGTATGTTTGTGTGTATACGTGTGTGTGTTTATATGTGTGTATTTTTGTTTGTGCGTGTGTGTGTTTGT